ATAATTTCAGTAAAATGTGTCTACTGCCATTTCTTGATTTGTAATTGATAGCAACTGGTAGGTAGTGATACAACACAAGCCTTACAACGTACATGTACAACTTGGATAAGTAACTCAAGTATTCCAACCCATAACTCCTTGATGACTTAGTTACTCATCAAACAAAGTTATTACCTGTTGTAAGGCAACTGAGCCAGCATCCTCACATGCTGAAAATGTTTGATGCTAGAGTCAGGAAGCAAGCTGGAAGGTCCAAAACACAGCAGCTTGCACTTATAAGAGAATTGTGAACTGGATCCATGGGCATTCATTAAGCCTTGTGATAAAAGAGTTTTCCCAGTTGGGGTCAAGATAAAAGACTTGTTAGTTTGTTGTGGTCCACGGGCTGCATAACCAACTCTTTGTGTCTCACAGTGAGGTTTCCTTGGATTCTGGCACAACTGGTTGGAAAGTCAAGATCTCTGTGAAGGTGTGACCTAAAAAGAGAAGAACAGCAGGACACTAATCAATAAAACACGACAGCTCATATTGTCTTCCTCCTTTCCCCTCCATCCTTCACTGACTTTATTTATGTTTCTTTGCTTTGCTTCCTAATCAACCTTACAGCTCCTCCCTTTCATCCTTACGTTTCCACTGGTTCAGAGGCAGGTCTGTGTTGTCTAGTGAGTGGTCGTACGGCTGCGCCTCCGTCTCCTCCTCTGGGTCTCTGAACTCGGAGAAGTAAGGCAGCGTGAGAGCCTCTGCAGCGCTTACCCTGCTCTCCGGATCCAGCAGCAACATGCGCTCCAGCACAGACACAGCTGAGGAAAGAGCGGAAACGGGAAATCAAATCAGAGTTTCACCTTCAAACTGATAATAGATTAAATTAAAAGGCTGAGCACATCCTACCCTGTGGTTCAGTGGTGGAAAACACCTTCTGCAGGTCCTTCTTTTCCACCTTTGGAAGACTTTTGATGTAGCTTTTGGCCTAAAAGACACAAATTATTACCATAATAGGACTGTGTGCTGATTTTGCCAAATTGTGCTTCTAGTTCAGAGGATTTGGGAACATGTTTAGGTGCTACAACAAAATTATGGAGCTTTAAGTTCTCGCTGTGAACTCACTTCCTCGGATTCTAGTTTTGTTATAAATTCCTGAGTCGGTGTTCCTGTGGTCTTCATGATCTCAGTCAGCTGATCTAGGTCTGAGGACCAGGGGTCAAGGGTCAAATGTGTCACATATACAGGGACATTTTTTCAAACAAATTCCTCCGTCTTTTAGCTCTAGGAATGTCTGTAAGGTGTCAGTGGAGGGTCACCGAGGTAGAAGGATACGGTCGCTGCCTTTAAAAAGAGGTTTTCCTTGCAGCATCTCCGCCATGATGCAGCCCACAGACCAAATGTCCACTGAGAAAGAATCAGAAAAAAAGACATTTCAGACTTTCTGTTTCTGTTGCTGTAGCCAAGTGATCAGCAGCAAAATATACATGCATTACAGCAAAGCACCTGCAAACTAAGGTAAGGTGTTAAGAGGTTGCCATCTAGTGGATAACACTTATTATTACCATCTGGTTCAAGCTAACAAGATGTGATTTGAACACCACATCCTACTGCAATGACAACGAAAATCTAACTGAACATTGTTTAAAACATTTATTTGTAGGCCCATTTTACAGTAATGAGGTGTGTTTTTTAGTGTATTTACAATTCAGTGGAGTTTGTAGTTACTGTCTAGACTCGCCATTCTCACTCCTACAGAGAAAACTGTTGCAGAAGGGGAATATTTACTAATATCTCTACTGACTGTAGCCTCAATAGACCAGAATGTGTTGCAAGCACAAGACATGTGCAAGATATCTACTAAAACAACAAGACTCTGCCTGTTCACTGAAGGTTGTAAAGGTCACTCTGGGGAACGTAGTAAATCACTCGCAGAAGCGGAAGCAGAAGTCCTGAGTTGAGGGCAAGTGAGTATACTCAAACAACTAATACATGCTACATCATAAAGTTACTTGAGGATTCGGTGCTAATGGGGAACACTGAACATGACACAGTGATGAAAGATGACGGTGTGAGAGTGGGTTTTTCCCTTTAATTAGCTCTTCATTACCAGTCTGAGTGTAGTGCATCCAGCTCAGGATGACCTCTGGGGCTCTGTACCAGCGAGTCACCACGTACCCCGTCATCTCGGTGTCAGTCTGCCGTGCCAAACCAAAGTCCAAGATCTGACGGAACATGAAATGAAACACAGTGGAATTAGAAACAAAATGTACGTCTTACTCATACTGAGGTACCAGGTGTGGTAATAAGACTTTAGGGAAATTCTGGGTAATGCATTGACGGTTTTACAGTTATAGATTTTAACTCGATAAATTAAACATCTAGGTGACATCTTGTGTTTGTTTGGGTTATCAGAGTGTACATGTGTACCTTGAGTTCGCAGTCTTGGTTGATGGCGAGATTTCCTGGTTTGAGGTCCTGCCAAAATTGATATGAATGAAGACTATGACTATATATGAAGCAAGAGGAAAAGAAGAATCCAGCCATAACAGTGTAATAAAATGGGGAGTGTAAGGTTGTACAAGAAACACCAACTACATAACAATTCGATTAACAATGTATGAACACAATCTTTATCTCACACATACAGGGTGGAAACACACACATAAAAGACAACTTACTCTGTGAATTATACCAGCAGAATGAATGTACTGTAATAAAAGAATACAACAGGGATTTAATCAACAGAACAATCAAGTGGTAATAAATGATCCACAGTGTATCATCAAAGTAGAGTTCTCCACCTTAAGCCCTTTGAGCATCTGATAAACCAAATACTGAATTTTTTCTTCTGACAGCTTCTGCAGCTTCATCAGTTTCCCCAGATCTGTCCCCATGAACGGCATCACCAGATAACTTGAGGAAGATGGAAACATTATGAGTTGGATACATTTCAACTTGACGTGAAAAATGTTTGACAAAACCTTTGTGCACAGGTAAGTTATATGTTAATATAGCACAGCATAAAAATGCACTTACAAGTCGTGGAATATGTCCAAGGAGAGGGCAGAAGTAAACACATCTAATAGGCCAATCACCTGCAGACAGAAATATACCCTGTGTTACACGAGTGGAGATCATCTTTTGTCCTTTTGGTGGATTTTATACTAAGGAATGCTGTCGTGATTACTGTAAAATTTCACTCATGTAAATAGAAATACAGTCCTTTCTGAGGGCCTGGACCCCTTTCCTATGTACTGATCATGCCGTATCTCACATTTTCATGCTTCATGTGCTTCAGAAGCCTCAGCTCCCTGTAGGCTCGCTTGGCGAAGAGCTCCGACTGGAAAGGCCTGTAGAGCTTCTTGATGGCCACTTTGGTTCCTGTTCTGGAGTCCACTGCCGAGCTGAGGGCAAGAATATACCAGCCGGTGTGAAACAAAATATACAGCAACTGTATTCCAAAGAACATCGCCTGATCTGTGACATGGCCAGTATGAGGAAATAACCAAATCTGAGAACTTCTTTGTAATGGGGGGCGGGGAAATGATCCCCCATCCTCTGATCTGACGATTTATCTACCTTCTGATCAAGAATGTTACCATCACACACACTTACACCTTCACACACACACACACACACACACACACAGCACCCTCTACTATCTTTTCCCCTCATCTGCTAGTAGTGATCTGGCTGTATGGCGGCTCCATCTCCAGCCTGTATCTGAACATATATTTTCAGAGTTGTTCATGCGTTCTTAAGCTGCATTGAGTCCGTCGGAGCAGTTTAGTAGCCGCCCACAGAGTTAATCATTGATAACAAAGGGGGCCGAATGCGTCGAGACGCACAAAGGTGCTAGAAAAGCTGCTTGTCATTGTCGAGTATCAATAAACTTGGGTGAGCGCACCCATTTCACCCAGAACCACCCCCTGCGCTCCACATAATTCAACAATGTAAGAAACGAGTAGAGATGACAGGGTGATTGTGGTGAAGCGACGGTCGGTGCAAGTGTCTCCATCATATAAGGAAGTGAAGCAGCATGTGTTCGGCGGAGCGCAGATACTTTTTCTTTTGTTCGGCTGTGGCACAGTGCGACGGCCCGTATGGCACCATCTGTTCCGTCGCTTTCTTTGTTACCGCGCTCCACATAAACCAGCAGTGCGTTCGGGGTTACAGCTTCATCCAGTTAAGCAGAGTTCACTTACCATACCGTCCCGTACGCTCCAGTCCCCACCTGCCTCAGATCCCGGTACCGCTCCGGTACTTCCCATGAGGTTTTGTTGACTTCTTGGCGGTAATAGCCGGGTCTGACTCGCTTAGACATCCTATTTTCTTTTTGAAAAAATCAAATAAGTCGTCTAGAAGAGGTTCTTCTTTGGTTGTTTTGTCTCTTACGTCGCTACACACCCATTGTCCCACCTATGCACTCACCCTCGATCATTGCGCAGCTCTGACTGTCAGCCGCTCAGGGCGCACCCTGAGGTCACCAAAAGCCACTCCCGAGTCCTGCCGGAGGACTACAATTAAAAGGTGAATAGGAGACTGGAATGTAAGTAATATGACACTGGGCTGACAGCATTACTTAAAACTGCGTTGGGAGGTGCGCACTCAACCTGAAAGTCGGCAAATCTGGCCAGGTTTAATGGCAACACTCATGGACACGCTCATCAGTGCTGTGCTGTTTTGTTCAGGAGTAGAAGCTTGAGACTTGCTGGGACATGAGTGTAAGTGACGCCGTGGGGTGTAGACACACAGCTACGTAGGCAAGCAGTTTCATGCATCCAGGAAACAGAACAAGGAAATCACAATAATATAAATGAAGTGGAAATGACTTTATATACATATTAAAAGTTTAAATGTTTGCCTCTAACGGTATAGAGTCATTTCATGTAAAGGTCATTTAAATGTTATGTTACACAGAAAAAAAAGAACAAGGAGGTCCTAAAATGAGAAGACAGGTATGGCAGGTATGCATTTAGTGCAAAGGAAAAAAAAAAAAAGGAGAAAAAAAGACACAATTTCTAGTGACTGCTCTGTTTATTGGAACTGAACAAGACCTGAAGCATATTCATTCATATTTATTAAGGAAAATATAACTCATACATTATCTAATTGCATGTCAATTTCTGTCATTTTTTGTGTGGAAGTCCAGCGTTAGTGGTCTGATTGTGATAAACAAATCTTGAATTAATTTGTCAAACCAACAAACTGATTCTGGTTCAAATAGAGCAAGTTATAATCAGTGCTCATTAACTGTGGTGAAGATTTTTGTTTTTCCCCTTTCAAAAAACCCATGCCTGATAGCATCACATCTGTGGCACAATCGACAATAAACTTCCCCAAATACATTTGTATGGTTCTGACTAAAACAGACAAATTTAACACGTAGTTCCCATTTTTTCCTTTGCTGGACTCTAGATCCACTGTAGTTTTGTTCCGTAGTTTCGTGTCTATGCTCACTGAACACATTAAGTAGCAAAAAAGGTAAGTTATGTTTGTGGCTCTGTGCCTATAAAGTGGTGCTATAACAGTGGTAAAAGGCAATGTTTTCTATTACAGGTCAATATATTGTGCGTGTTTATCTACTGCGGCTTATTGAATCAAGTTTCACTTTCAACCACATGCATGCCCCAAAACATAAAAATATAATCTCTCGCTCTCGCTCTCTCTCAAGAACACCCACACACACACACACTATATTATTTGGTATATGTTGAGTTGACACCCCACAGTTTGTCAGAGTCAGACAGGTCACAGTAGAACTTGTTGTCTGAGTCGTCATTAACAACCGGTCAAACACTAAACGGACAGGGAAAGAGCTGACTTTGTTGGATGTATTTTTCTGCTGTCTTTTGTTGTGTGCCTGATATCTTTCATACACTGCATTATTCTTTGCATTCGGGGAGCATCCACAAAAATCCCACCCTGTCACCATTGTTTTATAGATGACCTAGCCAGCCCCTCATCTTTCAAATTCAGTCACTTCTAAAAGTAAAAGCAAGCTGCTTGAAACCATAAAAGCAAATAATCACGTCAAAGCCATTTACTGGCATATATGGTAAGCTTAAAAGCTTTTTTACCAGATAGTGTTGTCATATTGTAACTATATGGATTTGCAACACAAAACTCAACTCATTCCCAGTCTGCTTTGATTAACATCGGTAGCCTGTGGGGTGTCGTATCTCATGCTAACTTCCCTGATGCTGCCTGCCAAAGTAATAGAGAGTTGCACAGTGACTGGAAGAAGGGGGGGGGGCATAAAAGGTAAAATCAATGAACTCTCTGATCACTTTAGACAGGAAAGCAAACAATCAAGGAAGTTATTACGAAGATCATGTGACACAGATTTCATTGGCCCAAGCTGGGGGCTTGCTGTCATAGGGAACAGGAGTTCTGGCTGTAGATGTAGATGCCTGCTGTTGCTCCTCTCCCTCATCCCTCTCTCCCTGTTCGGTGGCCTCGCCTCCGCCCACCCATGCAGGGAGCTCCAGACCTGGCTGCGAAGAGAAAGGCTTCTCCAGAACCTTGAGGACCCGCTGGACCTGCAGCACAGAGGAAGTGAGAGCAGGTAAACACCCTGAAAGTGAAACACTAAAGGCTAAAGTGAGCAACAGGGAACTGAGTGTAATTTAAGTGCTTTCTAATCATCATCTTGCTGCTTTGACATCACTCTTAATGGAAAAATTTAGTGCTGTAGAAACACTTTTTCCAGTAACATTTTAATTCATTTTCTGACTCAGATGCAGTGACTGAAATGGGTTAGCCCACTTCTGATTTTTGTCCACATGAGTACCATTACTTCTTATTGAGTACTGCCACCTCTGGTGAGCATGGCCCACCACTGAGATTGAGGAGGTATGAGCCTTCCCCCCCGAGTGGTATACAATAAAAGTTGTGAAATAATTGCCTAAAAATAACTTTGACGTGTACCCCTGGCTCTCAATTTAAACACAGCTATCTTAACACTAAGAAAACATTACTGAAAACCTTCAAAAGGTTTAGGGTTATGTTGTGTTTAATTATGCAGAATTAGGGTACAAGCCCCTTTTTGGTCCAACTCAGGCGCTGCTCAGATGTACAACAGTCTAAACTAAAATAAAAGGTGCGGTAAATCAACATTTAAATTGTATGAAAGTATAAGGTATTCGAACAAAATGACAAGAGCATCCCACTGGATCCAAGCCTGACCTCAGAGAAGTCTCCATTCTCAGCAGCCTCAATTGCATTCTGGGCAATGTAGTTCCTGAGTATGACGCGAGGGTTGGTGCTGTCCATGACCCTCACCCTCTCCTCCTGCACAGCCTGCACATCGCACTGGCCTTCCAGCTCCCGAGCCAGACGCTTCCTGTGGCAGTGATAACACAAAAACACCCAAGTCAGAGAGTAACAGAGCAATGGCAGACTCAACACCCATTTCCTCCTCTTTCTCACTGCCCGCCTCCTTTATCAGTCACACTTCCACTCATCACCATCCACCCAGAAAGTCTCTTATCCGGCCCACGCAGTTCCTCCATCCTCTATTCTTGTTTTACATGCCAACTGTGTTGCTTTCTCAGATATCTGGCCTTTCTCCCTCCATCCACCTAAATCTCACCTGTAGCGTGTGATCCAGCGGCTCCACTCCTCTGCCTGTTTGATTTTCAACTCTTCCTGGCTGGTCTCCATCAGGTCTTTCAGTTTGCTGAGTCTGTCTAACTGCCTCGCAATTGTCGTCCTGTCTGAGATCATCTGGAACAGCGCTGGGTTGCTCTGTGCCATAGAGAGCAGCATCGCCAGCTCACTGTCGACAGCAGACAGAGATCGTAACAGTTATAATCTTTATTGGCATGTTGGAGAAAGCAAAGCACCAGTGCTGCCAGTGCGAGCGATTCCGGATTTATGAGGCAACAAGATGAACACAACAAACACATGATTATCTTTATGTGCCGTTCTGTACCACTGACAATGTTTACAGACACTCAGTAAAGATTAAGTTAGGCAGGAAATCAGATAACGTGTTGTTTAAATGTGTTATAACATAAGATATATAACTATATCTGGTTTAGTCAGTGATCACAAGTTTCCCTCAGTGTCTTCCAAAAAAGACCACTCATAATCAGCAGCCTTCCACACAGTAACTAATAATTTTTCTATTCTTGCAAAAACAAACACCAATTTTGTCCTATGGGTGGTGCTAAAAGACAGGCCATCAGCACATCACATGCCCTGTAAAGCATGTATGTGCTCAATTATATCATGGGCATCCTAATGTACCTCTTTTGTTCATCATATGTAAAATCTAACCAAAATGTCCAAGGTGACATTTTCTTTTCCTGGAAACCTCACACCAAATCTTATTTTTCTCGTTTTCAAGATACTGCATTTTGTCATGGACCAAACACAGTGTGGCACCCAAGTGTGAAACTATTGTGACATCACCCAGTGGTTTGTGGTGTACAGTTTTGAAGGTTCGAGTTTTTTGCAGCCAGCAGCAGTGATGAACTGCAAGTTGAGCTGTGCTCAGTAGCTGTGCTTGGTTTTACACTCCTCCACCGTAGGCAACCACAGCAGTTCGGGTGGTCACGCACGTTCTTGAATTACAGATAAACAGTACACTAAAATATGTTTCTAAACAGATATTAGGCGAGATATAGGCAATGGAGCAACATCATTTTGATTAATATTTGATCGGCAGAACCTAGTTTGAGAGTTTGATTGCAGTTTTGTGCTGTGCGCTGGACGGACTCACTGGGAATGACCTGTCAATCACAAGGTAGCTACACCTAAAAGCATATCCTGCTTTACTGTCTGTTTTACTCTAAATGGGACCATCATTTAAAACATTTTAAAATGACCTGAAACTAGCGATTAAGACCATAAACTCATTAGGAAACTGTTAACTGAGGTAATAGATCTAATGAGAAGTAGGATTAGTTCCCTATAAGACTCAATTCAATCAGACAAATTTTCTGCAGCCCATGGAGCTGCCCCCTGCTGTCCATTAGAAAGAATGCAAGTTTAAGACACTTCCATGTTGGCTTCACTTTACAGACCTGGAAGCTCTGTTTACTAATTATATACCGTCAATGATGGCACTGGACAGAAGAGGTGTCAAATAGCATTTCTAGCAGGGTTTAAACCGTGCCTATGCTAACACATTAAGTTAAGTAATTCAGTTTTTCTAACAGCATTTACGTTTTATTCGTAATCTCTCTCCCTAAAAGTTTCATTTTTACGTGTCATTTCTGTAATGGCATGACATAGACAAAAACATAGTGTGTTAGTACTGTAGGCAGCCAGCTTGGCTAGCTCACCGTGGATCCATAGTGGGTTTGTTGGCGGCCTTGAGCTCCTCTAAGTTGGCACACTGCTCCAGCAGGAGGTCTGCAGCTTTCCTGACATCCTCTTCTTCCTCACTTTCTCCCGCATTGGGACAAGAAATCTGACTCAAGCTGCGGAAGGTGTTGGTGAAGTCAGCGCCTGCAGGAGGGGGGGCAAAAGGTTATAATGGTGTGATAGGTCATGTTGGGTTCATGTTTTATATGCAGCAGTACTGTATGTGTAAACTGTATTCTCAAACTCTATCCCTCTCACATCCCCATCCCACCTGTGTTGTGCATGGTCTGCAGCAGCTCAGTGATCAGGATCTCGTCCTCAGGCTCGTCCTGATTCAGTAAGCCCAGCTTTTTCCTCATGTTCTCGAGGTAGAAGCCGTTATACAGATCCAGGTACTCGTCCATGACGGCCTCAGCCCGGTCCGGTGGCAGCTCTGGGGCAAGAGCCTCTGCTAGCTTCACCAGATTCCACCTGCAGATAGCTGGCTGGGCCTGGTAGGAGTATCGGCCGGAGTTGTCGGAGGCGTTGCAAATGAAGTCTGGGTCAAACCTGAGAGGGAGCAGGAAAGTAGTTTTCAATAGCCTGATGAGTGATGGAGACTTCATACCCACAACCTGTTTATTATGATTATTTATTTATTGTTTATTTGTGTAGCATTTAAACAAATGCCACACACAAAAACATTTATAACCTAAGCTAATCTGCAATGCCCGACCCTAGCTGGAACTCTAAAGTATTAAAATACAGTGTTATTTCTGCTGTAGCAAAATAAGAAGGCTCTTTTGTCAATCCGACCCGTTGTGTCTGACCTGTCCATAAAGCCGTATGGACCATAGTCCAGCGTGAGTCCCAGGATGCTCATGTTGTCTGTGTTCAGAACTCCGTGGCAGAAACCGACACACTGCCACTGAGCCACAAGTCGAGCCGTACGGAGCATCACCTGCAGACAGGGACCAGACAGTGATCTAACGTTAGAGTGTCGTACTGTATTTGCAAAAGTATCTGAATCGGAGTGCAACTCTTGGGATGCAATGGATGATGTGATTGGTTACTAATTAGATGAGGTAAATGTCAAAAGTCTGTATCCGAGGTTTAATGCCTGGTTAATATCTTAATCTCATACTGAACGGAGGGCACAGTGACTCAGCACATGCAGCCACTGAATCTACAGCAGCTTAACACGGTAAGAGGATCCGAATGTTCTTGGCTTCAAACTGTAACGTCAGGCCAAGATTTGACTATTTGCCCATTTTATTGGCTGAATTTGTATGTTGACGGGTGGGAAGGGAGTGTCACTCCTGTGCTCTGACCTCTCTGAAGAAAGCCACGTTCCTCTCCACCCTATCTGGGTAATTTTGCTGGATCTCGGGGTAAAACATCTCAATGACGTAATCCATCATCTGACCTCGGATCTCATCGCGTCCATAGCTGGGCCCCCGGCGGCCCGTGTGCTCGTCGGTCTCCTTGAAGATCTCAAAGGATCCAAACCTGCTCAGAGAGTGCACAGCTAAGACAAACAACTCTTATGTACACATCTGGAGAAGCGCAGGGATCCGTGATACTGTGCGCTCACCGGAGGAAGGTGGGAGCAATACGGAGGACCACAGAGCATCTCTCGTGGCGAGGGTGCCCGCTGTAGTACACATCTCGAATGACCCTGCTGTCAGAGGTCACGACGGAGCCCGCTCTGGTGGTGGGCACACCCAAGAAGTACATCACCTCGCTGCACAGGAACTCTCTTATACTGGAGCGCAAGACCTTACGGCCATCAGCTTGCCTGTGGAGGACAGAATAAAGACGGATCATACAAAGAAAGGGACATTTTCCTGATGATAGAAGATGATTTGCCTTTATTTATCCCCAATGAGGAAGCTATATTTTATGCATTCAGAGTGCTCAACGTGGTCAAAGCTGAAAAATACTAGATTGCAAAAAATGAAAAGGGGGAATTAAAGTACTTCACATCTCTGGTGCATTTCATAAAAACAGTTAAAAGAGTTGACAGTGAGTACAAACTGAGGCCCACGTGTCTCTTCTAACACCAACACATGCAAAATGATCTTGCACACAAGTCAGCAACCCCTTGTACCTGGAATAAGGAGTCAGTCCAGCTCCTTTCACCTGAATCTCCCACCGGCCGCTCGGGTTTTCCCGCAGCTGTTCGGGATCTTGACCGGGTGGCACTTTCACCTCCCCGAGGTAGCAAGCCGCCCCGTCGCCCAGCTGTCCGGCGAACTGGCCGAACTGGTGGCCGCAGTAGCAGTGAGCGGCGGGCTCGGATCCAGGCAGAAGTTTAGATCCGCTGAGATACTCTGGTCCGAGGGGATCGTTCATGACCTCCTCTCCGCTGAGCCCCAGCAGCGCCAGGGCTTCGTGCGACACAGCCACGAACCGAGGCTTGGTCAGCGGCTGCGGCTTCACCCGGGAGAAACACGCACCTTTCACCTGCCGCACCCCCGGCTCCTCGGACGAGTCCAGGGGAAGTTTTCTGAGGGCGACGTTGTCAAAATCGAGGCGCTCCAGCGGGGAACGACTCATCGATAGACCCATGTCGTCCATCCCGACCGAACCGAGGAGTCTGATCACGGACACACCGGGGAGGACGATGCGAGACGGCCCGAGCCGATGCGCTAGATAAGCCATCCAACCAAAGCCATCTGTCCGCTTGGATCCGCTGGCGCAGTTGTAATAGAAAGGTCGCTAGTCATGCTTTCATAATCCCGCAAGCTACAGCGGATGTTTGTTTCTGAGACGGGCGGTGTTACATTATTATTCGTCCGATCGGAAATAAGCAGTATAGACAGAATTACTTTGGCAGAAAGTCAAATAAATGTCAAACTAAGATAAGGGTTAGATAATAATGTGGTCATTGTTTGTTTGAATCATTACAAATATACAGCTGCGTTACTTTAATACAATAAAACAACAGGATACTGGTCCGTAGGAAACCTGTGACTGGGTGATGTAATATACTGCAACAGGTTTTGCATCACTTTTGAGGCAGAAATACTTAAAATGTTTTAATAATTCATTACAGAAGTTATGATTTGAATGTTTGGTTTGCTAACAATGACAATATCACACAAGGGTTTGGGGGAAAAACAATTTTTTACAACAAATACAGGAATTCATACAGTTTTCTCTTGGCAATTCTCAAACATACAATAGATTAAACCTTTGGAAATGATGTGGGAAGGGATACTGTATTATACTGTTGAGGGACAGAGAGGTATGACTACATATTTTCTTCACTTTCCCAATATACTTATCTCGTAAAAGAGCATAATTTTACCAATTGGAAGACTTAGACTTACTTGCTCAGGTTATCTGAGTTTATGCGTCAGATGAAATGGCACTGCGTCATTCAATAAAGTCTCAAATCAGGTCAGAAAATAACCTCCTTCTATAGCTCTTATAAATACATCTACATAATTTGACTACTGTACATTAAATCACTTAAAATTAAATTTTGGAAATACCTGGAAATGTATGTATTTTTATATATAACCTTGCAATAGTAGAATATCAATAACACGTTGGATTTATTGGGACATTTCCCAAACAACAAAGTTCCACGGATGTCATGTAGCCAATTTTTACACATGCAATTAGAAGCTTTATACTATGGACACAGGTCAATGCCTCAGCAGATCGAGGCAATCTGAGGGTCAAAGGCAGCAGTGATAGCAGTGTAAGGCTTGACCTCCCAACTCTGACCAACCTTAACTGTCGCCTTCCTTCATACTAGCCAAAAACACGTCCATAAGAAATTTCACTGGAAATTATTATGGTCAAATTCAAATCTTAAATTTGAAACTAATTTCATTTTTTTTTTTTTTTTCATCATCTCGATACCCATTTTACAATCAAACTGGTAAAATGACAATGCATATATCGTATGTAAGTACAAACAGCTGGTGCGCTGAATGACAGATGTTCCCATGTGGCGGTTTTTAGAGATTTCTGTACAAGATGCATATTTTTTGTGTCAAGCATGTTCCCCTTACTCAGAGATGGAGCCAGTTCAAGCCAAAATGTGAAGATGCCTCAAAGTAGATGTACAATCGAATATACAAATCACAAGATCAATGCTTTGCTCACCCTGAGGCACATTTAAGCCTGCCCTGCATCAGGTCTCTGTTGAATGTGTGAGTGATCAAGGGGCTATGGTACCGTTTCAATTGAAACCAAGACAACACAAACTGGAGATCTATATTCGGGGCAGCAGTATTTATAAAATAAGCCTATCATATAAATAAACTTGCATTGACCGTTTAGTTGTAGTATGTGTAAGATGCATATAACACATTTTCCCCCCCATTCCATTTAGTTCACCATTAGCCCTTACTGCTGCAATGTGAGGCACTTGTCTGTTGATGTGGGCAGGACTGCGCACACTGGAAATAAATCAATTTTGTCTTTTGCTAGTTTTGAAGAATTTTAAATTGTAGATTTTTAAAGAACAGAAAATAATAGTCAACCTTTCAATTCAGAAGTCACTCTATCCACCAACTATAACAACTGAAGGTTTTTATAGAGTTCCTACACTATATTTTTGTAATTTGTTCATTATAGTTATGACTGACTTGATGTTTTACTTTACTTTCCCTTCCCATTGGCTGCATGTACAGTACCAGACTCAACCAGTCTCTTATAAACTGCTAGACTTGAAATGGGCCATTTACTAGAAATACTGGTTGGTAGCAGAAAAAAGGACAAAGGACTAAGGAGACAACGTTAGAAAAGTGTGCATCTTGGAAGAGGCTCGGTCATATCAGGGCAGGTGACTGAAGATAACTGATGATACTTGTCAAATAAAAGCTCTGTAAGTCATTTAAAAAGGAATGGTGGTGGGGGGAAATATATTCAAAAGGAATTATTGGCATTTGAAAACCTAACAAAATGCAGGATTTGCACAAAATAAGAAAAAAAAAAGGAAAAAAAAGTACTGTCATGGTTTCTTTGGCAGTACAGCCCTGCTGTGTCTACAGGGACACCTCAATACAAGGTTGGAGGCTCTTAACTCTCTGAGGTCCTTGTTAGTTCATACTGTGGGCTGGTGACACCTTTCCTCCAGCCTCACCTCTGGGTTTATTAAGGCCATTGGTGATAGATGCATTGTTTAAATAGATCAACTGTCGGGTCATTGATGGCTTAGAGATGACCAGTGGGGTCAAGCAGGGGGTGGCCGCAGAGTTTCCAGTAAAGATTGGACTCCAGGTAAAGTCAGCAGGGTTCGGCCTAAACTCCCTCCAGCACGGTAGCAAGAGTATCCCAGCATTCCCATCATCACACCCTTTAGGACCGTGCGCAACACCCAGCCAAAACGCGAGGGAGGTGCAACACTGAGGGAAAGACAAAGACAGACTGTCAAGACACAGTTATAATACGCATATATATATATATATATATATATAGTACATCTGTAATTGTGTCAAAACAAAACAAACATACCTCATGATTTCGCTAATGTTGAGCTGCTTCTCCCAGTTTTTTTCTATGCCAGGGACATGACCCATCCCTACAACTCCTACCACCACAGCAGGCACTTCTACAGAAGAGTAAAAAATGTTCTGTTAAATAAACAGTCTACAGTTCTACAACCACATATTCTTATATATTTCTATCACTATGTATGAAACCACAGATTAACTCTCAACTTCAAAAATATTTTCTATATAAACATAAATGATCCAGAACAAAATGCACTGCTGAGAAAGTACAATATGATTCACAGAGAATGCAATCCTGTGGTCTCACTTCACTATTTCTGTGACATATAGTTTCAAACCTTTTTACATACAATATGACTAAGCATTTCTACTAACAGTCTGTAGCAGTTAAACCACGTTGACGTTGGTCGGTTGATTACGCAACAATTCAGTAGCAAATTTGATGATAGATAAACTGCACACAGGAGGTTGACGTGTCCTGTTAGAGAAATCTATATCAAGCAAGGGTATGTCTTTCTGACAATACATTTAAAACAGAATAAAATTCAAACGATAGGACTAAATTCTAATGAGTAATGTTTTTGTAGAACAACAAAATGAAATAAAACACTATTTTATGATGTGTTTAGTGATTGAAGCCATGTATCAACCCATAAATACACGGCAAAGAGGAAAGAATAGGACAAATAAGAACGATGTGATTACTAACTTATTGAACAGTGTAATACGTACTCTGGGCATCAGGGGGGGCCTCCACACAGCGTGTAGCCTGGCGGAGCGAGTGTGTGAGGTAGACGTCTCTTTCAGCCACAATGGTCTGGTGGAGAGTGGGAAACTCGCCGATCATCTCTGACATGGCCTGCTCCAGCAGGTCCTTCTGTTTGCACTTCTCCACGTCCTCTTTACTAAAACATGACACACAGTCCCAACACAGTTGCAGGTTATCAAGTAGGAAGGAGAAGACTTTTGTTTTCTGCTCACACAGTAATTTGGTTATGCACTGTATACGGTCTATACTAAAGAAAGAGGAACAAACAGCCGGATACATTTTTTCTTATCAAGTTTTTTAGGACATCCACTATTAAAAGTCTTTATAAAACAAAGCTTATTCTTAAATATGTAATTTTTGCACTGTAATGTAATTTGGAGACTTTAACAGGAGTTTCAACCTGTTACACAAAATTCAAAGGATCCAGCCCTGAATTAGGGCCTGGCTAACCTTAACAGCAATTTTAAAGTTCAATCTAAAAGATCTCAGAAGACAGACACACAATCACGTTATTCAGAAAGCTTCCAGTCAGATCTCACAGATACAGGCAGTTTAAAAAAAATTGGCAGAGTTGCATGTGCTCTGGAAAATATGTGTGGGTGCACGTTCCCAAGTTCTAAAGAAACAGCATTACCATGATGCTCACACAAATACTGAAGCTGCATTTTGTTCCACACAAAAATTGCTCAAAGCAAGCTCAACCATTGACATTTAAACTCCCTTTTAAAAACATTTGCTTATCCACAAAATGGAAACCTCTGAAGAGAGAACATTAAACTGTACGTTCAGAACCCATTCAGTTCTAACCCAGCCCCTGGTGGGGCACAGTAATCCGTCGGCCATAAACACTTCCCACTGAATCGGATCCTTTTAACGACCTCCCTTTTTAAAAACAGTTTCCCCCTCAAATTTAGTAATATCCTCGTTTTTGGGTAAGTTGTGTAGAGATAAACGGTATCAGGATGAGGGCACACCAATCATGTGGATCACTTTAGGACATCTAAATTTCAGAATCAAGTGCACAATACAGAACATCTATATTCTTTCTTCAACAGTGTCTAATAATAAATATTGAGAAAAACAGTCTCACGACGCAGTGTGGTATGACAAAAAGTGACTAAGGTGAGCTTATACCTGATGGGGTCAGACAGAAAGCAAAGACCCCATGCCAGGCGGGCCTTCTGCCACAGAGTTAGAGCAGCAATGGCCCTCTTGAATGTAACAGGGATCGGCCTGTCGCCAAGGTGGAATTTACAGAACGGCACCCGTCCTGCCTGTGTGGGCGGAAAAAAATTCCAAGATTAAAAAGAGAGAATAAAATAGACACAAAAACATAAAACTATTGCTTGCCTTTTTTTTTTTAAAAACTTCTTTTGTGAGTGTTTTACCTCTTTGAAGGCCTCCCTAAACTCTCCTCCAGGAGCCATGCCCAGCTGCTTCGTGATGTGAGCTGAGACTTTGAGCAGGAGAATCTGCATCAGGCCAGACATCCACCCATTCTGACAAACACACCGAGGGCAGAAATAAGCACTCACAAAAACACAGATTTCCCCCTCAGTGGCCATTCTTTGAGTTAAGCTTTGAAAAACCAAGAAGAGAAAACACACAAGTGCTGAACAGACTAGTAGCTCTTTACTGACACTTAATCCTGTTTATGCATCATATATCAGAGATTTTTATTTCTCCATTAACAATGAGGGTAGGATAATAGGATAAGAGACGTTTCAAATTCCAGTACACCATTACTGCCTTATTCAGATATACAGTATACAATGAAACAGTAAGCGCACTGTCTTCGTTTTATTGTTACTCTTTCTACCGCTTTCGATTCCTCTATTTCTCTTTCCATTCCCTCCTTCATCTATTTTATTGTCTCTTGCGTTTTTTCACACTACGACTACTGTTAATTACCATCACTCTGAAAGCCTGACCTGTTTGATAGCCTGCTGAACCTTATCCAGGTTGATGTCTTTGGCTTCTCTCAGCAGTGTATTCTCGTCCATCTTCAGCATAGACACCCTGTACTGGCACAGCTCCACCACCACCACGTCTGGCTGCACAGCGCGGATTATCTGTGTGAGGGAGAAAATGAGCAGTGGGTATGTAAGACAAGAGACAGAGACAGAATAAGAGAGCATAAGAGGGTGAGAGAGAGACAAAAGGCAAATGAGCAGTGAAGGAGGAAGAAAAGACAAAAAAAAAATCCATGTGGAAAAAGAAAGAAGATTATGTTTGGTAAAATAGGAATGCCATCCTAATTACAGGATATACAGACAGGCCAACTAATCATCACTTCAAGGTGCTACTCTACAGCACTTATATAATACTCCATATTTACAGAATTACTCCATTATTTCACTAACGATTTAACAGCATATCACATTTTTAAAAAGGGTGTAAGTGGTATAGAGTACTGTACAAATCCTGTTGTAAATTTTCATTGGCTCACCGTGGCCACATCCTTCTTGCTGCTGTCACTGAAGTGGGCAGTGCCCACCAGGTATAGGAGGCTGCCATCAGGGGCAGTAAGACAGGACACTGTCTCTGGGAGCTCAGAGGGCGGCTGGCGGCGCTGGGCTCGCAGCTGCCAAAGCATCTCCATTGCTTCACTATCCGCTACACAGGAGACAGTTATTAAAAAGGTCAGAAAATTCAATTCAATTCAATTCAGTTTTGTTTGTATACCACCAATTCATAACAGAAGTTATCTCAGGAGACTTTTCAAATAGAGCAGGCCTAGACCGAACTCCTTAGAAAATTATTTACAGAGACCCAACAGTTCCCACCATGAGCAAGCACTTGTCAATGGCAGCAAGAAAAAAACTTCCTTTTAAGAGGCAGAAACCTCGGACAGACCCCGACTCTAGGTCAAAATTACAAGAGGAAAACTATAGTGTCTGATGTATTACGATATCTTCTTTGATATAATAAAGGAAGGACGTATTTTCACTGTTTTGTATTTCTCTATCAGCTATAGTTAAAACAATTTACACCCCAGTCCTTTTCACATCGATATAAGCTTCACACAAGCAGCACCTCTGCGAATGATGGAGAGTTAAGTTACAGCTGGTTATACGGTTATAACTGCAAAATAAAAATCTGTGGCTCTTAGTGAGGACAGTAACAAAAACATTAAGACATCTGCATCAGGGGGAAAAAAAGAAGTATTTTGAGGTTTGATGTGTAATTATGTGGATATAATCCAACGTTGCTCCAGGAAGTGCATATCCCCTTCTTGTACAGAGCAAAGACTTTATGAGACTGTCATTATTGTGTCATGCAGACTTACTATTTAAATTAGAATCGCCACTGAAAAGGCTGCTGTAATTAACTGTCAGGTTGATAAACTATCCAGTCTCAATTTTACACATTTTAAAAATATTTTATATTAGAAAACATTTTGCATAACACAGACAATGAAATGGAAAAGGGTCACTTTCAGAAAAAGGTATTACACCATCTTTCTGATGAAATACGGCATACACACTGTATTTAAAAAAAAAAAAAAGAAACAGCTTACAGATCCCTGCAGGTAGAGCAGGCAGTCCCTCTCCTGAAGGATTCTCTGGTAGGCTGAAGGACACATTCTGTGAGACATCAAAACAGCAAACAATATCATAGTTTGCAGAAGGCATGTTTACATCAGCACAAGATTAAGAGATTATTCCCGCCCATGTCTGGCCCGCTTGAGAAAGACGGACTGATTGCACATAATTGATATGATATGCAAACTGTTGAGCAATGCATCCCATCCAAAGCTGCTGCAGTGGTTTATTTAACCATGTGTGGGGAAAAACAATAATAATTCAGGTGGCATCTAATGATGTGTGCAAGTCACATGTTTGTGACTGATAATGTTCCCACCTTTCATGTTGTATTGAAGAACTGCATGTACAAATGTACGTGTCAAAAATGCAATTGCATTGGCCTTAATAGAGCCTGCACAGTGACACATGGTACAACACTGGAATAAATCCCTGTATGTTTTAATCCCTTTGGATTTATGAGGTAAAACGAGTTTATATCTTTATGCTGTTGTCCATGTGTTGTATTTTGCGAGTATGTAACTGGTACAAACCTCTGGATTGTTGTCTTGATCCATGTTTCAATCACTGGAAGCTGAGTGTGAAAGAGGGCAGATTGCAGATTGAACAATGTGAGTTTATTCAGCTGTGCGACAGTGCAGCGTTACTGACTGCTGACGCTGCTTTAAGTTACAGGGTCAAATGCTTAAAAACAAACGGAGGGGTGACAGAAATTGATTTATTAATATTTAAAAGACGCAACGCCGTCTCCGACGAGGATATCATTACGACTAAAACACTAGCTAACGTTACACCAGAGGCTTGCGTAGCTGAAGAAGAAGTAACTTCGCCGGTGGGGTAGTCCTTTTGTTATCTAACGTTACTTCCAGGTACTGGGACTGCTCGACGTTTTGGACGGGTTTCAGCTAGCTATGATGACAACAGCTAACAGCAAGCTAACGGAGGCTAGCGAGCCTGGTGAGCAGTTCGCAAAAAAGATACACGGCGAAACGGAATCATTTCACACAAAATGTGGCCACTATCAAGTACAACACATCGGGCAATATGTGGGATAGCTGTCTTGGAACAGATATGAACAACTTACCGAGCAAGCCAGCCAGTGTATGTCAGTGTGTGCTCTTCGCCAGCGCAGCAGGACAGAGCTCTGCTGAAACCAGTGACAGTATGGCCGGTATGGCTGAAAATGACAGCCGCAGTGCATTCTGGTACATGTAGTCATTGGTGTGTTTTTTTTTTTTTTTATTATTATTTTTTTATAATGAAAATGTTTATTTGTTGTAACATTTCACACAGAACAACCAAAGTCGTCTTTCCTCCACCCTTTTCACCAGCATTAAGACTGTGGGAGATTTACCCTCCGCCACTGTCTCACTTTGAAAATCTACACAGAAAATCAGTTATAAGCAGAGCTGTGTTGAAACATATATAACATGCTCTCACACACACTCGTGCTACAAGTCTTAAAGTGCTTTTGGATGCATTTAGTGTGCTTGAATAGTCTAACATGGGGATTTTGACCCAACCAGTGTCATGACAACGAGATGGATCGATTTGTTATTTCCACCAAAAGATAACTGGAAGTCCACAAGTGTGTGTGTTTACTGACTGCCCCAGAAGAAAAGATGAGTATGCATAGGTCTGCCTGTACTGTAGGTAGGCCCCTGACAACAGCACTAATGTCTTCTACAGTAGATGTCATATTGGCGTGAAAGTCAGTGCAGACAGTTCCTTTATTGAAGTTCCTGTAATCATGTATGCAGCTGCAAGAAATGTGTATGGAGAGGTTGTGGTAAGCACCCATCCCCTTGTCACACTCACTCATTCCCTGTAAAAAGTGCTAACATACCTTATATGCTTGGTTTTACTACAAATAACAGACCAACTATTCTACCTATTCGTTCCTTCGTAGCGAATGTTAGCACAATGTGAGACAGGGCAGAACTACTTTTAACGAAATTTAGATTGTGTCGGAGGCAGCAGATGACAATCAAAAGCCTAGTCATCATGTAATAAACCATCCAGTGAGGAACGATTTAACATCTACTCATCACTTCACATCACAGCACTCCCACAAGAAGCCAGCAGAACACAAAAGTCACACACTTTACCAGTGAGACCAGTTCCATTCATCATATTGGAGCTGGTAGTAAAGTCTTCAAGTACCAAACACCCACATCACTGCCTTTTTACTAGATATCATAGATATCTGGATCCTAGTAGACACATCTGAACAATATTGTAGTTATTCATCACCTCACAATGCAACAGTCATTGTAGAGTCTGTTCTTTTGCTGTTCCTTTATATAATATGCCAAATTACCTATTATTAATGACATGCAAATATGGTCGAGTCAAGATCTGATACAAATTCCTAATTAATGGTGAAATGGCAACGATAAAGCCATGAACGTGTGTCATATTTTAAACACCCCACAAACACTGAGTCATATACAGTGTCTATACATGTATAGCATTTTGTGAAATATGATGCTTCAAGCGCATACATTATTGCCACAAATATATTGTGATCTTTTGCATATTAATTGTGCAGATCTCAACAACTGTATTGCGTGAGCTACCTTTCTACTTGGCTATTGGGATAAAGGGACTAAGCGTTATCATATGTGATAAATACATTTTGTTTGAAGCCATAAAACAGTCCTCTTTGCAGATATGCATCTCTAAGGTGTGTGTCTTTTTTTTTTTTTTGAGCTAACTCATTGCCGCTCATTCTTTAATTAGGCCTTTTCAATAAAGCTGACTGTTTGACCCTGCACTATAGCACCCTGTTGAATATCACTGCTGGTTTCATTGGAGGGTGTTAAGCTGTACACAGTCACCCTGAGACATGAATGTGACATCATTTCCTACAGTAATACTCTAATCAGTACTCTCAAATACACAAGCTTTTGTCTTAACCTCTTTAAATCACATTCCCATCTAAAATGCCTACTAGAGTCCAACTTAATTTTTCTCAGTGTCCAATTTCTGCTCGTCAGTCAGCCCAAGCCACCCATCACAGGAGTGCGTGAGTTAATTAAAAGAGTAGAGGTGACTGTTGATAGGAGGTGATTGACATGGTGGTTGTGTGCGCAGAGTGTAGTGTCGGGGAAGGAAATCTCGGTCAGCATTCCCCCTTCTTCAACATTCCCCAGCGGCAATGAGCTCCCCAGGTCTCTGTGCCAGTCTGTCTCTACGGTTTTCTTCATCCTCCTCTTCCTCAAAGAGAGTGTGATGTATACTCAGCAGCTGGTGCGTAGGGGCTCTGGTCAGGGGGGGTGGCGGACACTCAGGATTTTCCGTCTGGGTGTGGGGCTCCCTTTGAGCAGGAGAGGACTTGGGACTGAGGGGGTCCTCGCTGGAGGGAGGGTTCGGGCTCACGCCGTTTACGTAAGTAGAGGTGGGCAGGGTCACTGTAGAAAAGGCAGTGTTGGTCACTTCTGGAGAACAAACCTTAGTTTCTGAAGAGAAAAGAAGGAAATATCACACAGGGTAGAGAAAGAGAGGGAAAAGTCAGCGTGTCCCCCATTTTGAAGAAAACCTACTCTTTCAGGGGTCAGCAATAATTGCGCAGGGAGACTCTGAGAATGTCATGGTGTAGCCTAACAAGCTGGAGCTCACATTCAGCTGTAACCGAAAGCTAACACTGTTTTATTGTGTTTCATTCTCAAAACAGAGCAGAGCAGAATTCTTCTTTTTATTTGGAATGTGCTCACCTTTTGCATGCTAAGACTGATGGCAGCATTAGCAATTTTTTTTTAAGAAATGGAAATTTACCAGATATATGTAGCAACATGTCGTAAATAACCGTGCCCACTGCTTGGACCAAGCTGTGGTTACAGGCATTGGATACTGCTTTTCTCTGTTAGCTAATACTGGTAAATTCCTTGAATATTTGACCCACATGGGTTAGAGAAACGTGAAGTTGAAGTTCTACCCTGAAACAGAAAGAGCAGGAGCGAAGGAGAGATTGGGGTTACCTGTAATTGCGCCAGACACATGAACAATAGTGTGTGTGCCTTCAAGGTAGACTGCATCCATGTTGTGCTCTGTGGGTGCGATTGTGGTCTCCACCTTGGGCTTACGAATGGTCAGCATGTATGGGTGCACATCCAGAGAGAAGTTGCGAGTGTGCTTTTTCTCCATCCCACTTACATCTGTGATTGCAAATTAAAAATGCCTTAAACTGAGGAAGAACATTACAGCAAATAAACAGGTTGTGCATCCGAAGTATGCTTTAACCTACCATGACTGATCATATCTGGATTTTTATATTTCTATATTATCAATGTACAAAGTTCCTAAAGCACATCCAGCAGAAACACAGCAACATAAGCATTCATTTGGAGTCGTGTTTCTTCCTACCCGGCAACTTTTTAGTCAAATAATCACTCTGCTTTTAGCTCTGTTTTGGTCTCCACTAACTCCTGAGAAAATGAGCTATCTCTTTAGCAGCTAAATGCTCCATTATGTTCACCAGCTCGTTGCATAGTGATCCAGCAGTGTTTACTGGGCAAATCAAAGTATCTTCCCTGAACAGCTGCCTGCTTGATGAAAAGCTGTGAAAGTGAATCAAAAGAGTAAAGTTGTGGGCTGTAAAACCAAAAACGATCAATGCTGACAGATGCAAAAGAATTTAAATAAAACTGAAGGAAACTGCAGAGTTGGGTGATAATTGTTACTACAAGCAATCCCTTTAACATAACACGAAGTCATTTGATCCATTGTTAATAAAAGAATATAGATTAGCACAGCTTTAAATCATGTCACAGACTTACTGGTCATAGTACTTCATACCTTTTGTTGCAGGATATTGTGTGCTCTTGGTATCCAGAAGTGGTGCAATGAAGTTGTCTGCCTTTCGTCTGACTGGTTTGGGTTTTTCAGACTTGGTGTTATTTTCCAGACGTGTCAGGGTAGAAGGTTCCTTTACAGGGGACAGAAAACACAAAAAGAAATAATAAATATAAATCCAGGCAGTCAAAGGCACTTAATGTAATGCAATTAATGCACAATTGAAGAATTCTACATATATTGGAAGTGCTAAATGAGGACCACTTCCTTCGCAGAAAGATCTCATCGAGAACTGATATGGCTAATTTGGAGGCATCTTGAACAGACACGTTAGTGCACGGTAATGTGAACTGCTGCGCTCTAATGAACAAGTTCGTAGTAAGTATTCTGTTTCTAGAGGACAGTGGGGTTAGATATTTTTCTTCTGCTGTCATTGATGCTGAATAAATGTTGATGTATTACAACTGAAGACATGGAAATTGCTCTCAGGCAGCTGCCTCACCTTGAACGGCTGAGGAAGAGGATTTGAGCTTGGGATCCATTTAATTTTCTTGCGGGGCCGTTTGATGACTAGCGGCTCACCCATCTCTCCCACTCCAAGATCCATATTGGGATCAAGTGTTTGTATCCCAGAGTCCCTCACAGTGGGTGTAGCATCATGGTTGGACTGTGCAAGCGCAGCCAACAGCTGCCTGACCACATTGTCATACATGAGGTCACTTTCATTGGTGATGAAGTCCAGCCTGTTGAGTGACTTGATGTGGTCCCTGTTCTCATTGCAGAACATGGCCAGTATGTTGATATCACAGAACTGGGACTTCTGCCAGCGACGCCGTGTTTTAATACCAACTTTATGCAGTTTATCAAATACAAAGTTGGACTTCCGCACCACAAACAAGTGCAACAAATTAACCAGGATGATAAGGTTCATGGTGCAAAGCAGAGAAATATCTACTGCTGCCATGATGCGCTGTAGCTGCACTGCAGGCAGCTTACAGTTGACCCTGAGCTTCAGCTCTGCATAGCTGCTAATGTCTGGGGGTTCACCCAGCGCACAGGTGAACTCATTTTGCCTTTGGCGGGCATAGTAGGCGCTCAGGTAGGAAATGGGGATGGAACTGAGGCAGATTATCGCCAGGTGGCGTGCCAGGTAAAGCTTAGCCAGAAAGTTACTTTGACCTCGTCTCTCCAAATATTTCTCAAACAAGTTCTGCTCGGGGCTTTTCTCCTTCTCTGCATTCTCTATGATCTCCCTCCTCTCCTGCTCAGTTATGCCAGGTCCTTTGGATTGGATCTGCTTCTCGATCTTTGGGGCTCGGCCCTCAGCAGCACGATGATAGCAGTTATCTATCTCTTGAAGCAGGAAATTGAGCTCTGAAGTGAGCCGTGTAGAGGCCATGAACTCCCAGCCCAAAGCAGGAATGTACATGATTCCAGCAAAGGCCAGCAGGGCGTAGGGCAGGAACTTGTGTTCAAATAGTGAAGGCCAAAGGTGAGACTCCACGCCAGGTAAAGCATCCCGAAGTTCTGTCCAGCAGTAGCCTCTTGCATACAGTGCCTGGTCTCTGGTGAAGTTGTGTGGTGTGTAACAGTATATGGACTCCTCTGTGGAAAGTACACATAGAAAGACTGATATTAATCATGATTTCAATAAAGTATATTAGCTACATCGTGGATCTTATCAGCTGTGCTAGATTTTACAACATGTGAGCAGTCAGACAAAGTGACAGGTTTAGAAAAAATCTCAGGTTTAACAATTTTATCTAAACCACTTATTTGAAAGTGGAAAAAGGTAAACATACCTGAAGTATCTGTTGTAATCATCCATTGTACTGTTAAACTGCATGTGCACACAACTACACTGAGTACTGTGAAATAGACTCTAACTATTCAATAGCTTCAGTCAGATGTTTAAAACACACACTATAGGTAATATCTTAAATGCTCACTTTCATTTCACTTCCAAATAAGTGAATATAGTTAAACTGGGGATTTGGTGTCCCCTTGTATTTATTGCAGAAACTTTGCAACTTTAGGAAATATCTTGCACCTATCTGACCTCTGTTTCATTTTTATTTGTACTGTATCTCTGAGGATCTTTCACAATAATTCATCTGCTCAGCACAAAGTGCTGCGTGTCTATATAATACTCATTGCTTTTTGAAGTGTCTGCCTGGCTCAGATAGAGGAAGGAAAGAGGAACTCTTTCCTGTCAAAGTTGTTCTCTTATCACTTCTGTATTCATTAAGTACAAATATAAGTGGGCTGCAGCAAGTCCACTTTTAATCTTTGGAAGTAAGTGACACCTGATATTATAGATGGTTGCTATATAAATAAACTTTATCATTTTTAATAAAAACTACTGGAAAAAGTCATATTTAAAGCCAGCATGTATTCTTTTATGTTACTGGTAATAAAGGCAATATGTGCAGTAACATGACTTTGTTACAGTCACAGAGGGCAGGATGCTGTCCTTGTGCTGAGTCATGTAAAAAAATGTTTGGCAGTGGCCTAAATATCATTATAAAACACACACAGTGAGGGAATACTGGGGAACTTGTCTAAACACCCACATCTTTCTGCTGCTAAAGTTAAACGCTCAGTCTCAGATGCTTAATGCTGCTATGCAGAGAGTCTGACTCAGCAATGAACTAACATCTCTCCCATCCATCGCTTCCGCTCTTTCCTTCTACCCAAACACCTTTCTCTTCCCCCTCCCTATAATCCATCCCCTTGTGTCTCTAGAATCTCTCTCGCCTCTCTATAGCCTTTCTGCCTCTCTTTGTGTACTCCTCTAATGCACTTGGCAGTGTTTCCTGCCTTGCCTAATCTCACAGAAGACACAAAGCACTGCATGGCTAACTAAAAATATACTGGGTATAACTAATTTGGATCAACTTGACCTTTATCACATTCTTGTGGAGAGATTTTAGGTGTCTTTATTGTTGCTTTAAAAGAAACAGCATGCACCCTTTGCAGACCAGTGTTAGATGCTGTCACAAATTAAACTTGTTCAAAAGTTATATGAAGGGTAACAGCTGATGTTGTAACTTAGGCATCCTAGCTTTGGCAGTTAACTGTGTCAATGAACCCCCTCTAGTGGCATAAGTCTCACCTGCAAAGTTCCTTGTGAAGACAAGGGTGACCAACAGGATGGGGATGATGACAGTCCCTATAGTAACAACACGATCAAAGGGCAGCTCCAGTTTTAGCTGCACCATGAGACTGGCCAGTACCCCGGCCTTCTCATCCTGAGAGGAGCCGGGCAGGATCAGCTCCTTCAGCTTCTCGCCGGCGAGTAGAGCTGTGGCCATGTCTAAGTTTTGATCGAGGATGTTCTGCATCCGGAACACGAAGGGCACACAAACCACAGCCTCCCTCTAGGCTGGAGGGGAGACCAGACACTCCCTGCTGTAGGTAAATACTCCTCAACACAGTGTGATACACAGGCCCACACACACACACACAAAAATGTGTGGCCAACTTCAGCCCCTGTCACCATGCGTAGGAAAGTGGCGGGTCATACTTTGTGGCCTGTGTTCTTCGGAGCTTTGAGTTTTCTACACTTTCCCGCAGCTTTTCTCTTTTAGAAGAGCAGACATAACATTCAGAAGCACACCACTTGCTCGGTCTCTTCTGTGTGCATCTCCGTGTTTCGTCCCATCTCTACAGTGCCTGGCCACGCACTCTGTGTGGCAGGTTGAGGAATGAGCTGAGTTTAGGAGGCGTCCTCACAATCCCCAGGGAGGGTGACTGCTGGCTGAAGAGTTGTTACGTGAGCTTCGGTCAGGAGAATCTCTGACCAGTCTTTTCCTGAAAGACAGAGGACAAGATAGGGCATTACAGTGTGTGCATTTCTATAAAAGTACAGTGAGGTACAAGATGCCATTTCTGGGAACATATTTATAATAGATAATTTTGCAAGCCATAGTGTTCCTCAGGTAACAGCTCTCTGTTCCTATCCACCGTCCTTTATAATGCACTCGTGTGGCTGAGGACTAATCCTCACTCTGTGGCCAGTGGAGTGTGTCAATGTGGTTACCTCTGAGGGGACATTTGCCTTTGATCGAGCAAGGACATTAAAGGGCATATTTATTCTCTGGAGAGTATGCTAAACTAAATTGATTAAAGGCAGAATTTATTCAGTGATTTAGACAAATGTTCTATTTGTCTTGAGAAATGAACAACCTTATCTTTTTGGACACTGAGTCTGCTCCTCTCTCAGGACTCCTTGCTGGTCATTATCTCTGTGGAACAGCATGTTCATGCTGGGATGTCAGGTGAACCCAGACACTTGTCAGTAGGATATCTTGTCGTGTGTGTGTGTGTTTGGATGTGTGACTAAGTGAGTGAGTGTACATGTATGCATACATACATCAGGATACATAGGCTTGTAGGTTTGAATTGGCGCCTGCTGCATGCCTGTTTCACTTGAAGGTTATGTGAATGTCCTTCCAGAGGAGTGTGAATGCATCAACAATTCTTACCCTCTTGTTCTCCCTCTTCCTCATATTCTTTCTTTCTCCATTACTCCCTCTGTTCTCCTCTCACTTTGCCCTCATTATGCAAACACACAGCTCATCTCTGAAATCCTTCAAAGCCCAGTCCTCTAGTCCAGGGCTCCAAAGTATACTTAATATCTCAGAGAGTGGAACCTTGAGACTGCGGTTTCACAAGTACAATTAGCTTACCCTGGTCCACTTTATAGCACTCTCACCTGCATGGTGAGATAGATCATAAGGGGAGGATTTCTTTGAAATATTATTAGAGAACATTATTCAAGGCTGCATATGTTAATGCTGACATCATGCAGAAGAACAGGATGTCCCTAATGGGATAAGATAACCTACAGTACAGATTTAACACTGTCCACATACTGCCCGGTGACAAATCAGGGCAACTTTATCCATATCCTCAAACACTGTTTCAAGTAACAGGAAAAAACTTTACATAATTTAAATTTAAAGGGGCAGCATCCCATTTTCAGCACTCACTTAGAGGCTGCACTGCTGTCTGTGAGACTCTGGCACCGCTCCAATCCAACAGATAATTCCTTTCAGTTGGGCAATGCTACCAGTGTTTAGAGAGGGAAATCCCACACTTTGGCTACTACAACATCCCGCTTGGCTGTGACCAGTGCAGCCGGCTACAAAGAGACAGAGCTAAGCTGAAAGAGAAGAGCCCCATTCATTCATTATGGATTAGATAATGGCTGGAGAGGGAAGAACTTTCAGGGTGTATAGATCTGACACTTGTTCTCAGACATTCACAAAAACAAACCTGACCCGATAACTATAGCAGACTAATGATACATTTTAGACACATGTGAAGGAATACAGTTTTACACTAATACTGACATAGAAAAACACGCAAAGTATCCCCCACTGTTTTCTCACTTTTGACTCATCAGTAAGTCCCTATGGAAACACTGCAGGAACATCTCATCAGGGTGAGGAGATCATTATGTCCTAGTTAGCTGGTGTTGAGCTAGATTGCCTCTCTCACTGCTGTCTCCTAACAGGTCTGTGAGTCCAGGACACTGGTTAGAATCGAAAACCAGTGGGACCACACTTCCATCAGAGGCATTGCATTGCAGTGAACTGCAGCTGCCTGCAGATGACGAGCCGTTTCAGCACCCGAAACAGCGGATAGCTCCCGAATAGCCAGCCAGAGACGAGCTGCTAAACATCAACTGTAGCGACTGAGTTTGTGAGTGTGTGTGCTGCTCTGCATCTGTGTGTGTGTGTGTGTGTGTGAGAGAGAGAGAGAGAGGAGAGAGTCTCTAAGATGCTCAATACCTGCATCCGCTGCCTACCTGTCCAAACTGGAAAACAGAGACCGGAGAAGCCACCCTCCCGCGCCATGTGCATGCACTGGGGTAAAAAAATAACCAAACAAATCCACTCACCATGTCTCGCTGCATCTCCCGGCACGGTAAGAGTTAATCTGCAGTGCGGGCGAGCAGCTACAGCATGTATCCGAGCACACCGGTTTGTTCCGCCTTTTCTCCCCCCCCCACCCCACCACCCAGCTCCCCTCCCATCCAACCCCTCTCCTCTCCCCTCCCTGCCCTGCCTCCTCCTCGGAAACAAGGGACGATGAGATAACGCATTAAGATCCTCTAGTTCATCACATCACGCGTTCATCCCCGCCGTTAACCGAATGAACGCAGACTTGCTGACAGGGGTTGTGTAAGCTGAGATGCTGAAATATGAATTCAATGATGTTGCCGAAATTGATTAATTCTGTCATCATTTGTTTTAGAGGTTCACCATTGGAATATTACAGATCTAAATTATGAATGTTATATACACAGTGATATTAAAATACCACAGATATTCTTTGTATGTTAAACTCACATTGAGAGCACTAAGGAACTGGCTAAATAGTCTAGGTGGACCACTACCGACCGGCTACCGGCTATTCCTGTTCAACCTAACTACAAGACACTGACTGGTTTTTGCTTCCTCATTGATAGGTTTATCCGGCCTGCCCATCATCTTTGACTTGCCAGAAACACGTTCAGACAACGAATTGGAAACACGTCTGTCATTCATATTCACTGGGTGTGGCGATCATCTTCTATATTAAAGACAGCACCAGTTAGTAGTGGATCATACAGTGGAGGGTAACCCGACTCAAAGTTTGAAGTAAAGTAGAGCCCCCTGCAGCTGCTGATGGAGGAGCCCTCGTTTGATTGCATGGGCAGCTTGTGCTGGTAACTGTGATGTGATCCAGATCTAGAAAGCGGAGCAACCAAACTGAACGGCTTTATTGCAATATATGACTGAGCGATTGTTTTTTTCAAATGTCCCCACAGGATCACTGCCGAACAGGGACAGCGTTACAGCAGCTTGTTAAGTTTGTTTGTAGCCTCCAGCAGCCTTTGACTCTCTGCTGGGATTCTTGTGGTGATGCGAGTGCGCGCTCCCGATGCGAGTGCGCGCTCCCGATGTTCGTCAGCTGGACCCAGCCACAAGTCAGTGTTCCTCAAGCCGGTTTCCGCCGGTTAGGGAAGCCGCACCTCACTACGTCTGCTTCCAAATATAGTCACTTTCTCTTTCTCTCTCTCTTTCTCTCTCTCTCTTTCTCTCTCTCTCTCTCACACACACACACACACGCACACGCACACACAGCATCGTTGCAGAGATCTTGGTGATGTTCATGTCTTAAGATGTGATGCAGCTCCCTCCTTCCTCTTGCGGTGATGCGAAGAATGCAACAGTCACAGTGGGGAAGACAAAAAACACAGCATGTCCTTAATGCATTATATGCCAGTGGCCACTTTATGTACTCCTGCACAATCTGTAAATTCAGCTGTATGTTGAGGTCATAGTTTAAGGTGGTGTTGTAGTGGATTACATTATATTGAGAGCTATTTCTAATGGATTGTTCACATGAGAGGGCTGGATATTAGAAACACCTCTAAATATAATGCAGTGCTGATACTCTAACCTCAGTGCTAAAATATAATTGAATTCACACCTCTATGACAGTGACAAACTCATAGGCTTCATAAAAGTAGACTTTATAGCAGAGCAGTTGTATTGGATTTCACAGGCATTAAAGTCTTAGCCTGTATGTGTAATATTTCCAGTGAATAACATGTTTGTTTAATGTTTTATTGACCTTTTGAGGCTTAATCTTAAATGTCTAAACTATTAATCTTGAATAGTCTTATATATATATCACGTTTCTGGTAAACATACTGTAAATATAAATCACCTATTCTAAACTTCACAGACTGACATCTAAAAATAGTATTATGACCAAACAGTGTTTCCTGGAAAGTTATACTAGGATGCAGGTAAGTTTAAGTGTCATATGTATTTATTGCCTAGTGTACCAACCAATAAACACTGTGCTACAGTTGATGACACACATTTTATTTTTTCTAAATATGACAAATTTTCAGTTAAAACTCTTTACATCAGTCAATAATGTATTTGCAGTGGCCAACTGTATCAATTATCTTGTAATAAACTGTAATAAACAACCTCTATCACACCACTGTGAGAACACACACATACAAAATACAACTCACAGTCAAGAGTGCTAAGATAAGTCAGTGTTCTCTAGTTGGGAAGAAGATCTGCAGTGAATTAAGTCTGCTGCTGATTTAAAAAAGTGTAATTTGTTGTCTTATTTTGGCGTCTATGCAAAGAACTTTCCTATAAATGTGGCTGATTGAGGTTTATACCTTAGAATAAACTGAGCCACTGCCAGGTGATAGATAAGCCAACATGCGTTTCTCATTTTAGACTCTCCGTGCATTGAGTTGGATGTCTCGGATGTATTTTTGTACATATTGACATCCTTTTCATCCTACAGTACAACAATTATACTGACAAAACTTCATCATCCATTAAATCTAGGATGAATTCAGTTGTATGCTTCTACTTTATAGAACAAAGTTAGATATTTTGAGACGTCATAAAACTTTGTGTTTAAGTCTAAAGCATTTTTATACTACTTAACATTGAATCACGCGATTGTTCATTGTACTTAAATGATGTCAATGTAAAAATACTTGTGCTTGTTAAAATACAGAGAATGGTTCAATTCCAACAATTAAAAAACCCCAGAAAACAGACATCAAAGCAAAGTGGTCAAAGCATTATCTATGACAATATCAAAAACCTTACATTCTTTCAAACGTCTCTCTTTATCTTTTATTTCTTTCTCAATCCTTCCTCTATGTCCCTGTCGCCATGTCTGAATACATATTTACTGCTTTTTCTTTCTTCCAGTGTGTTCTGTCTCGGGATTGTACTCTTGTAGCTTGCAGCTTAGAGTTTGTTTTATTCCTCTGTTTTTCACTTCGCATCATCAACTTCTCTGTGTACTGTAGGAGTGTTCATTGGGCCATTTGGACCACAACTGCCTTCCAAGCTCTGTCTTTGTCAAAATCCTGCAGTGTTCCATTGGATGCTTGCTGCTGAGGGAGCAAAAAGGGAAGAGGGAGAAGGAGAGAGAGAGAGAGAGAGAGAGAGAGAGAGAGAGAGAGAGAGAGAGAGAGAGAGATTGGAAAGAAATGAAATGTGGAAGGGGAAAGGTGACAAAAACAGATAATGATGAGATAAATGATGTGTGAAGGATGAGCAACACAATATAATTTTTGCATGTATGACTAGCTCATTGATTTTTATGTTATCCTATTTAACTGCCATTAACATGAGCTATAGCTGCTGAGTCCAACAACTGGAACAGAATTAAATGCATAATTCTCCACATTCTCAAATGTCTATTGTTGGAAGTGGAGAGACAAACAAAGAGAGAAAAAGACAGACTTGTCAATTTGTGCCCACGACTCCTGCTTTTACCAGCCTTACCTCACAGTAATGGGTTGCAGGGTGCATGCTATCACTGCACTCTGGAGCCCCCATGCGGAGCTGACTCTTGTAGGAGGCACAGTGCACCACAGTGGCTGAAGTTAGAACTGCCTGCACAAGCAGCAACACCATCAGAATCAGCAGCAGGATGTCGTAGGATTGCTGGACCACACAGACATGCACGCGGACACAAAGGTGAATTAGATGATTCTCAATGAGATTTGTCAATGAATCAGTTTCCCTAAAATCTATTTCTGTGTTTCTGATGCAAAAGGACCTCAAGGCTGGATAGGTAATGCTCACTAGGAAATCTGCACATTGCATACTATGGGTGAATCTTCACTTCATTGAACTCACCTTGGCTGTAGGCACTTCATGCAGGAAAATTTCAATAAAGCTGATCACACTGCATGAGAGGAAGCCGGAGGCTGAAAAGAGCAGGGGAGACGTCACGCTGCTGATGGCAATCAGAACCTCCACCTGAGGAACACCAGGAAGAGAAAAAAAGTTTATAGAAGTTTAAAGAAAAAGGGAATAGTCCCAGTTTGTTTAACTGAAAAAAATAGTAATGAAGTAATGATACCCATGTTAGGGACCATGTGCAGGAAAACATTAATTTCATAAAAGAAGAGTATTGTACCAGCAGATTAAGCGACTGGCTGATTTCCATCTGTAGTCGTTGGGCAGTTAGAAACAAACACTAATACAACTTATGCAATTAATACAAAAACAAGTTCAAAATACAATAAATACTATATTCAGTCATAAAACCAAACACATATACAAATTTAAATCATTACACCCAGCGCTATGCAATAATGTAGGCAGGTGCCTGGACATGCAGTGCCCTGTACTTGATGACAAGAACCTTGAATCTGACAGGAAGCCAATGAAGACAAAAAGGAAGAGAAGGGGAAAGAACCTAGATTATCCATTATTGAAGGGACAAGACTGAAGCAGCAATAAGAACCTCTGTTTTGTCATCACTGAGTTCAGTTTCTCATAGAGTTTAAGCAAACTATTACAACTGTTACAACAATTTTGGTACATTTTAAGGCTTGAATTATATATATATATATATATATATATATATATATATATATATATATAATTGAATATCATCTGCATAGCATTGATAGAAGATACCTTTAAAGTGAAGAGGGGGGACATATGTAAGTCCAACAGAATGGTACCCATGACCACATCTTGGGGAACACCACAATTCAGAGTGGCAGATAAAGACATATAGTTACCAAAGCAACTGAGAAACTCCTATCAGAGAGGTAGGAGGAGAGCCACTCCAGGGCTCACCCAGAAATACCACTGCCCAAGTTGATCAGCACACTATGGCCCAAAAACACCAGAGATCCAACAATACCAAAACAGAGCATTTTCTGCATCACCATCACCATCCTCATGCATCAAAATATCATTTAAGATACAGCGAAAGCTGTTTTACCACAAGGAAAAGGGAAAAAGTATTAGTTTGGTTCCCAAAACGGATCAGTATTTAAATTCTAACAAATACGGACAGTTCCAAATACATTACTTTAATTGATGTCCACCCTTTAAAACACATTAAGCCCTTATTTAGTGTATTAAACATCTATAGGACTGGAGTCCAATAATATAATATTGTCTTGTACTCACCAGACATTTATTGGGGTATTCTGACACAACGTGACTGGCAATT